TATATATATATATAATATGTCAAATACGGCTGCAAAAATATAAAAGAAAACTTACCTTAATGAAAATTTTTCGAAAGTTTAAGTATCAAGTTACAAGGAATAAATCATGAAGTGTTGGTGACGATCCAAATTTGGGTGTGAATTTGATGGTCATTTACAGTGCTAAGGTCCCAGACCATAATATCTCTAAAAATTATTAATGGATCTAAATGACACCTTCCAGAATAATTTGTCATGTTTCAATGAAGAAATGCTTAAATTTTGGTAACGATCCGGAGTAGGGTGTGCATATGTGGCCATTTAAAGAAAACGTCAGGGACCAGATATTAAAAAAACTGATCAACTAATCTGAATGAACCTTATTTGCTAGTTTAACCAAGTTACGTCCCAAGGAAGAAATAATAGGTGTTGTAACGATCCAAATCGGGTGTGAATGTGAGGGTCATTAAAAGAATATTTTTACCATATACCGTAGGCAGATACAATAGTAGTATGTGATGAATATTCAAATTAGTGCAAATACAGTAACTGTGTACAGCGTTTTTTATGTACTAACTTCACTTATTTTGGGAACTGATTAGTAATATTTTAATGCATCTTTATTTTAAACATGAGAAGCTAAAAACCAATATATTTCTTATTAATTTGACTATTTGCATATTTCCATTTCAACGCCAATACTGGGCATGTATTTTTTCTGTCAACTATAAAAGTAAAATGTTCGCGTTTGTTTAACCAGAAGAAGTAAGGATTTGGTAGGTATAAAACTAATACAATAAAAGGCGTTTCCGGATGGCCGGTTCTTAAGTGGGTGGTGGTTGGAAAATTCGGTGGGTTGAAAAATAAAATGTTTCAATATTATATGTTGCTGGGATTCTGTGTTCGAAACATAACATGTGTAGTGAAAAGTGGGCCGACGGTGAATTTTGGCCAAATCATTTCGGATTACAAAACCTAAAAATGTCCACTCTAAAAAAGTCCCCAAAAACCAAAACTAACAGTAGAAATAGTGCTCCTCTTAGAAATAAAATGTGTTTTCTTGAGTGACTGTGTTTTTGAAGAGGAGCGGAGAGAATTGAGTTGGGGTGGTAGAGGTGGTGGTTGAAGTAGATTAAGAAAATATTTTAGAAGATTTATTTTACAGAGAGGACTTGCGGTGGGCGGAGATATGCTCTCTACTGACTGCTCTTGTTATTGTTATTATTATTGTTATAACAATAATTATAATAATAAAAATAATATATAATAGATAATGAATAATATAATAGATAATAAATGATAAATAATCAATGACAAATGATAGATAATATATAATAGATAATAAATAATTAATAGATAATAGATAACAGATAATTTATGATAAATAATAGATAATAAATAATATACTAAATTCGGAGATAAGTTTAGACCTATTGGTTCTTGTATTTGAACATTAATGAGTGTTGCAGTTGACGCTCAAACATGGATATTCGGGTTAAAAATCAACCATAATTTTTGGCCATAGAAGAAAATGCTGTTGACCTTTGTTTTAAGTCGAAACTTCGGGTCATGAAAGGATGCAGATAGGAGTGGATTTGGTTGTTAAAAGTAAAAAGATTGGTGATATTAGATGAAAGCTCTCCATATTTTACTTGAAACATATGGATATTCGAATGACAATACTATTACGACGGATTTGTGTATCCTCGTATCACAGCATCTAACTTTTTCTTTTGTTAGAACACGTTCTACGACGGAGGCGCACTTCTTTGTCTTGGTGTAATTGCAACAATAGGATGTATCTCTATTTACTTTCTTCCTGAAACTCGCAACAAACCGCTTCCAGAAACCATAGAAGAAGGAGAAATTCTACACGGAAATGGAGAAATCACACGTCCATAGTGTATAAAACGCCTCGGTGGCACTGATTTGCATGTGTAAAAACAATAAGAAAACGGTGTAAAATCATTGAAGGTTGATTTGCGAAATATAAACTTATTAAAATATAATGAAAAGGATTTCGATAGCTTTTGCTATCATTTTCCACGTTAAAGTGAGTAAACATGGAAGATCTAACATATACATTGTATAAAAATGGTATTAACTAATCAGAACCGACCAAAATATACAAACGTTTGGTGACAAGTTAACGAGCTAATTTATTACAAGTAAACAAGGATAAGATGTCGGCAACAGAGATGGTTATATAAGTATATAAT